ATGCACACGTGATGACGTAATACCAACATCCATGCGAACGAAATAGGAGAGGATCAAACACGTGTATAAGAACTTATGCAACAACCTAATAGTTGGCTTGACACGCACCAGCAATGCCGCGTTGAATCGGGTCAGCTTACGCAGCATCCGCAGCATAGCGCGCGAGTCCCGCACGCATCAACCATCATACAGTATCGGCGTGGGTGAAAATGTGGTCCCTATTGCGGATCGAGACGGTCCTACACCCGGGACGGCCGTTGAGAAGTCCGCCTAGAACCTAGTGGTATCGCTTCTCCTCTAGCGATGTTTTCCCTTCCTTCTGGACTAAAAGCAACGACTGGTTCGGACTAAAACCTGCCACCTGCACCCTTGCATCGACTGCCACATGACTATCTGAGATCCATGACCATATCACTCATGCTGAACTTTGTCAAATGGGCAGATGCAACAAATCGTGCGCTGCGCGGATATCGTGCCTCACGCTAACTCAGGATTACTTGTGTAAACTGTCACTTGACGCAGTTCGGCTACGGGTGGGCATTTTGCATTTTCACTGCTTCACTATTTCCAGTTTACAAGTCTCACTCTGGTGAAACCCAAGAACTCTTGTGATCTGAAGCAATCTCGTCTAGCCACCATGGCAGAACCTGTCGATACTTGTAAGCTCTCCAGATGAGTCGACACGTCAATGGGAAGTAGCAAAAGTGCAAAGTAATCCTCGCCGAACTGCCCCCACCCTGACCTTCTTAAGTGGTCTAGTAATTTTCTTAATCAAGTGGCGAATCGGACGGGAAAGATCTCTTTACGAATAAATAATAGAAGTTCAGCCGAACGAGAAACTTTTCATGCGATGCCCGGCTCCAAACTGCCAAGATATTCATTGCTTTCATTAGGGGTTCTGAGCGCCCATGCCCAACGTAGCGTCACCTCGAACTGACCAGGAATAGTTCAGATCAGGTGGATAAGTGTCCCCCTCCCATGTGCAAGTGGCAAGACTGTCAGAGTTGTTAGTACGAACATGGACTAATACAAGCAAAGGTGGATTAGTCTGGTCCAGGGCACATCATTGGTTGGGGATGTTGTCGAGTCCGTACGACCCCATTCACTATTTTGAGGGGTTGTGCGACGCTCCCTATGGCCCCGGAGGAGGGGGGAGGGGTAAATTTGGCACATGTGAAAGACGTTAAAAGCCGCGAGAAAATACGACCAATCTTCCCAATTCTCAAATCTTCCCCAACTCCCAACTCTGCCTCTTTTTCCTTTTGCAAAATTTCCCACAAACTTCCCAACTTTTTCTTTTGCTGAGGAGCGGGGGAGGGAAAAAGGGGGTGGAGGGAGGCGAGGGTATAGTACATATAAAACAGGAAAATAACGAAACACCTCTCCCAAAAAGCCAGAAAGCAAGTACAACCCCCTCCTCTTTACCACGTCCGTGAAGGAGGAAAAACAATTACCACAATAAATTTTCCTCAGCCAAAACAACGAACCCCTCCTCTCTCCCGGCGACTAATTACGTTCCCCCGCCCCCTTGGGGATACCCCAACAACGATTGTCCTGGTCGTGGTTCGGTGGAAAAGGGTGGTCAGTGTAGGAGCGCCGGGTTCCGGACAGACGTAGACGGAAGAATGAAAACTAGAAGCAGGGCAGATCGATCGTTGGGGAATCCCCAATAGAGGGGGTCGTATTTGGCCGCCAGGAGAGGGGGAGAACGTATTGAGGCTGCGAAAAATTTATTTTTATAGTTGATTTTTCTCGCTTCATGAACGTTGTAAAAGGCGGGGCGGGGTCGCAGTTGGTCATTGTTGGGATTGGAGGAGTCGACGTTTTGGCTTTGTAGGAGCGATGGTTGACTTTTTGTGATTACTATACACCCCCCCCCACCACCAGCCGCAGTAATACTTAATTAAAAAGTAGGGATTCGTTGAGAGGATGAGGAGGAAGATGGGCCGGAGGAGGGGGGTGGGAGGGGGTCGTACCAACCCTCCCCCCCCCCCAAAAAAAAAAGGAGTGTTCGTACAGACTCGACTAAAATCCTCCGATACCCATATACTCCGCACCCCTACCAACTTCCAAAATGCTTACGTTTTTCCGCAACTCTGACCGCTCACAATAAGCTTTAGCAAGGACAGTAAAGGGCGCCGCCAAAACATATCCCCTATATGCCCCCAAAAAAGACCTCAGTTTTGATCACAAATTCAATGCAATCTTAACAATACATTTTATTTATTGTAGCTAAACTGATGAGATACACTAATGACATACTGTTGTGATGAAATACACTGGAAATAGTCAAAGTCAACAGCAAAAATACATCCATCGTAGACGATGTTGTGAGACAAATTATGAGAACTTTCAGAATAACAGGTAAACAACACGAAACAATAACTCAATTTAATAACACGTACAACGCACGACTTCCACGACCACCCTTCTTCAAATTAGCGATAATAGCGCTTCAGAAACGCTGATATTTGTCATAGTCGTAGCGTACACCGCTTGACGTTCCACTAGTGCCAAACGATGCCCAACCGCTAGCTCCTAAAATAGTTTGCTTATTAGTTACGAGGGTGATCAGATGCCTGCAATATAGGCTCAAAGCAATGATGGCGCGAATACAATGTGAAGTATGGCTCAACGTCGAGCGCCAGGGGTCGTGCCCTCCCATCCACGATGATGTGCTGCTCGAGAAATGACCACCCTAATCGCAGAATCCTGCTCACCGGCCTACCGCAACTCTGTAGATCGACCATATGTTGGTCCTAATTAATAAAGTTAGGTAGTTATTGAACAGCAAGATCGGAGACACACAATTCAAGAGCAATATTACAACAGCTGTTAGATCCTGCTACTTATTAGTGAACGTCAAACTAATTATAATCGATCTTAGATCTATCAGCTTGCGCAGTTCTAATGATTCAGCGTTCGGACTTCGCGGTCACACGCGTCGACGCGCTGCCACTGCAAGGGCGCTCCACTGCTTTAGACGCGAACGCAGCAGCTGCTAAAAATCGATCGGCGCTGACGGCTTGTGTTTGAGAGAGCGCACGATAACATGAGGGAGGCGCTACCATCACACAACATGGGTCTACGGACAAGTTGAACTCACCTTTAAACGCGTCGATCTTCTCTTTTTCTCTGCACTCTCTCGTCCGCATGGCACTCTATGGCCGTTGTGACTTCGCTCACTCCAGCTTTTCACCGACTATAAGTAGCTCACCCACCCCGGAGTCCCCTCCCTTGAAAAATCCCGTTTCCTGGCTCGCCATACGTTTTTTGCACGTTTCGATGCTTTGGCAGCCGCTGCCCTCTATCCGTCTGCGTCACAGGGTTTCGTAACAGGACCATGCACAAAAGTTCAAGATGTCACGTAACCCACAATATGGTACCCTTCTATTTCTCTATACTCCTCCAAAACACTAGCGATCAGCGCAGATCGATATGAAACTGTGTGACTAGGCAACGCGTACACTCCTAGTCGCATGCTCTATCAAAACACAAGCGGCCGGCGCCAATCGATTCCCGTCTGCAGCTGCACTGCGCCTATAGCGTTGGACTCAAGCAAATGTAGCGCGCTGATGCGCCCAATCGCGAAGCCTGAACGCTGCCTCACGCAAAATGTCTCCATAAAAACAAACAATTGACCAGTGTTTCTGATACTAAAACAGCATACTCGAACAACTCACTTGTGGCGGAGCTGTAAGCATCTCTACTGGTACCGTAATACGACGAACTTCCTCTTCCATTGCTGTAGGTGGCTCTAAGAAAACAATGGATGAACTTAACACATAAAAAAGAATAGAAACGAATCACACCGCGATGATGCGTACCCGCGGTCGTATTCCTTTGCACTAGACGAGTATGATGAAGGTCTTGCCGAGCGGCTTGACGAACCGTACGACTCATGCCGACCACGTTCACGACCTAAAAAGCACTTTGACGAAACGTGAAATGTGACGAAAAACATCTAAGAATTACTTGCTCCCGATGATTTGTGCTCCGAGCGATCACGATCTGACCTGGAAGAATCCATTATGAGTTGCTAAATAGAAACTAAAAAACCCAAAAGCTCCAAGTAGAAAAAACAAACCTGTCGCTGTTTCCACGGTGCGAACGTGATTCGCCATGACGGCTTTCACCTGCAGAACGATGGTGAGATGATGAAGAACTGATCTTCTCACTTCTCCCTTCACGAGATGAGCGATAATCGGCGTGTCGAGATCCTCTGAGAAAAACGAATCCTAAGAACACCGAAAGCAAAAAGGGACAGTTCCAAGGGATCCTGTAGTATGTTGACTGACGAACAGAATGTCTCCAACTCCTCTCTTTGTAAAACTCAATACTTGCTAGGGCGTACACTTTCCTTTTCTGTCAATGAACTACTCGTTAAAAAACCTACTGACCCACTAACGTTCTGACCAGATTCCTCTCAAATGCTCAATCAAACAGTATGAGCGAAAGCTGTCACTCCTTTTAGCTCTTAATGCATATCGCAATGAGGCAGCGTTCATACCTCGCGATAATGCACGTGGACGCGCTACTACTGCAATGATGCTTAAATGCTATAGACGTGAACGCAGCTGCAGACGGGTGTCGATCGGCGCCGGAAACTTGTGTTACAAGAGAGTATAGGATAATGAAGGGTGGGCCTTGCCTCATGGTCCCTCCCTTTCTCCTACACTCTCCCAACACGAGCCAGTGCCGATCGATACTCGTCCGCGGCTGTGCCCCCGTCTAGCATTGGAGCGTCATTACAGTAGAGCACTTCGACGCACACACGCCGAGTCTGAACGCTCCTATCAGGACCGACCATACTGTGCAGATAAAAGAGCGGTAGTCCCCAGCTCATGTTCTGGTGGACTGGGCCTATGAGAACGACAATGGTGTCAAAAAGCTGGCCCGATAATGGGGTCAAAAAGGTGGCCCGATAATGGAGAGTTATTTAACAAACTCCTTAGCACAAAGAGTTGTTGAATTTGTTCTATAATCTAAGCTCGTTGCTTCCTGCTAAGCAATCCACAAAAACCAACATGTGACGCACTTCAGACCTAAGGTGCGCTTCTGTGGAAGTTTTGGATGACGTTGTTATTCTGCTTGAAACAAATTCATCAGCTTTGCTTGAAAACTTCGGGTAATTGTCGTTCACTTGCGTTCATTATCCTCCAGGTATCTCTTTCATCTGACTCGAAGTCGAAGCTTTGATTTATTCATCATTCTCGATTAACGGAGTCTATTGAATATTTTCATTCTGAAGTTGCTGGGGCTTCTTTGGCTTGGCTTTTGGATTATTCACGATTAGCAGAAAAATGCAGCCCTCTTCCAGTAAACAGCCTCCCTCTCAGCCAGAACTCCCAAGCCAGAAAAAAAGATCAGGCAAAGGTCAGAATGATGTCACCTTTCTTACACGACCCTATTCCAAAGAGGACTATCGAGCCTTCTATACTTTCTCGTTCACACCACTGGTAGCCTTTTTAAGAGAACAAAAACATTGACTCGAATTTAGGCTGTCGTAGGCTCGAGTTCATGTGTTTCAACATCTGGATGGAGAGCAAAAGCGGGGAGCATCTTCAGGGGATCGCTCAGTTCTGGGCACTCCGCTCGTTCTTCGGCAAAGGTACTGTTGTCCAAGTTCAACCTCTTTTCATTTAGGTTGGCTCTGTGCCCACTTTCTGGTACTGCCACCACGAAACGAATTTCCTTCACCGCTGACATCAATCCTTCAAGAATTTTAGTGTTAACGAACATAGGATATAGCAGATATGCCGATCTTATCCCCGGAAGCTATCAAAGGGACTTTTAAAGTTCAGATTTCGTGCAGAAACGTTCAAATCAAAAAGTGTCCCAATAAAGGTGTCAGGGCAAAGCGATATACTCCTCGATTGTCCACGCACATCGAGTGCTGGATGGGACCTTTTACTAAATTTTCATGCATTCAAGACCACACATTGTTTCTTGGTCCGAGTATTTGTAGGTTAACGTCAATTTGGTCATTCACTGTGCAGCCCACATACAACAGGACCACTTGTCATTATCTGGTCGAAAATCACCAACCGGCTGGACGAAGCATAACTGTCTTTCGTACGCGATGAACCCATAGCAGCAAGTTTCTGCTGTTGAAGCGCTGCTTGCAATTGCAGCTGCAGACGCTCCTTTTCAAGCTGCTCACGTTCAAAGCGTATACGTTCCCGTTCCCTCTCAAGAGCACGTTCTTTTTCAATTTCCGCTTCTCGACGACGATGTTCTTCCTCTTTGTGCCGAAGCATTGTTAGCAGATCACGTTGACTCATTGCCTCCGGGCGACGAACCGAAGACATATAGGCAGCTCTCTCACCCGGACGTGTAACACGTCCACGAAGAGAGTACGAGGAAGCACCACGTCCTGTGAAACGACGTGCAGCGGAAATAGTTCTTTGAGCACCTCTGCGAGCATCACGAACGGTCGATCTACGTGCAGCATCTCGTTTAGCGTCCGATGTTCTTGACGGTCCTCTCTGAAATACACATGAACTATTCAAGAAGCAAAAGGCGTTATTAAGTTATTAGCTGTGATGGTGGTGCAAATGTCGATGTGCGAAAATGACCCATTCATGAAAGACACCAGCAGACATTCAATTTGAATGCGAAAACGCGTCGCGTACCATTGTCACGTCTATCGCTGGTCGATGTGCGCTTGTCCTTCTCATCCCTCTTCCGATCACTGCTACGAGCCTCCTCACGCTTCGATGAAGCCGATGCAGCTGCACTTTTTCCTTTCGAATCGCTTTGAGATTTCTCGGCAGCAGCTTTCGTCTTAGAAGCCGCATCTTTGCCCTTTTTGTCAGCATCGCGTTTCGACTCGCTGGTTGCACCGTCCTTCTTCGCTGGAGCTATAGTCGACGCAGCCGACTTTACGGCCGGAACTTTCGACTTATCTGCCTAAACAAGTAACTCAACCACATCAATTGAAACATTAATCATCAGCAGCTGAAAACACGAAAGAGCTCCAATTTGGTTTTGCTATGTTTGCAAAACTCGCCGAAGCGAGAGCAATCAGACGAGTCGAATCCATGCTAATGAACCGAAATCTTTCGAGCGATTTCTATCACTGGATACTTTTTTTTGACGAACTCATCACAAGTATAAACGTCGACGGATTTGAAGTCGCTGCTGCTTGGCGACACGTATCCGTTGACGATACGACACGACAATGTCCAGCATGCCTCGCGTAATGACAATCTCTACCTTCTCCACTGAAATGGTCCGTCCTTTGATTTGCGTCTTATGCATGGCAGCTGCTGCTTTGTCGGCCGACGCACTATCAGCCATTGTCACATATCCATAGCACGCTGAGGTTGACTGCTTCTTCGACGTGTATATTTTCGCGCGCACCACTTTGCCGTATTGTGTGCATAACACCTGCAAACGTGGGTAACAAAATTTCATAACGGCATGCAGCATACCGATTCTGATTGGCAATGAAAACGCACAATGACTACTGAGATTGAGATACCTTGAGATCGGCGGCTTTGGTTGCTGATGTGAGACCGCGAACCCAAATCGAACGCGACGCCACATCCTTCTCCTTGTCATCGTTTACAGGAGCCTGCACAGGAGTCTTAACAGATGATTGAGCTGTAATTTTGTTATCAGCAGATTTAGCGGGAGCCGGCGCTGTTGCGGCTGGTACGTCGACGAGCGGATCCTCCAGCATTTCCTCGTCGTTCGTCGCTGCGGCAGCGGTAGACTGGTCATCTGCTGTGGTCACCTCTTTGCTGTCATTCTGGTCTTCGGCTTTCTTTTCGCCGTCTTTCTTCGCAGGCGTAGATTCGTCAGTTTCCATCTGCGCCGAATCATCATTTTTATCGCCTGCGGCATGGCCATTTTCAGCTAAACGCAAAAATGATTGGAATGTTCCACAGGACCAAATACTTGTTGTGGTTCCTGCTTCAAATGCTCTTCCGTAACAAATCATAACTGCTCAAGGAAGAACAGACTCATGAAGGCTTGTAAAATCTACATTTTTTGAGGGTCAGGCGGTGTTCGGGCTTCGCGATGACACACTGTAATGCGTGTTGGCACGCTTCAGTTGCAACAGCGCTCCAGTGCTGAAACGCGAACGCAGCCGCAGACGCAATCTATTAGCGCCGGCCGCTTGGGTTTTGAGAGAGTACTGCAGTACCGGGAAGTGGGCATTCCCGCCGTTGGGGAAAATTTTTGTAATCTCCTCCTCTCTCAGCATTTCCTAACCTGGTTCAACTCGCCCACATTCTATATGCCATTTTGTTAAAACCTCCCGATTCCTCATTCCTCTTCCACTTTTTTCCTTAAACAACTGCTGTCAAGCTAGGAGGAGGTGAAGTACATAGCTCAAAGAGACTAGAAAAAAGAGCTCACTGGTAGAAGTCTAAAAAAAATTTTAAATTCTTCACAAAGGCTAATCGATCCCTCCCTCTAGGGACCAAACCCGACCCCTTTTGTTGGGGATCGCCAGCGTACGACGCACCCTGGGGGAAATGAAAAGGTGCCCTTGTTTATGTTTTATCCGGTCTGGTATCGACCAGCGCAAAGCATAGCTTTGGGAGGGGTGAGAAAAATAGGAGGATACGGTGAGAAATAACAGCCCACCCTTTTCTTGTCCACTTCAAACAAAATCGGCCAGAGCCGGTCGATTGCCGTCGCCGCTCCGATCGCGTCTATCGCTTGCAACGCATCGGCGCGCGTCATCGCGAAGTTTCGCTCCCTCAGAGACAGCCTGCCCATAGGACGGTTCTATGTCCTCCGCGTAATGATATCATTCAAGGATGACGAGGAGTGCATGTTAAAAATAAGTAAGGGAAAATCGGGAAAGCTGAGGAGTTTGTCAATCAGTCAGATTTCACACCCAGCACCTGCCCCTTCACACAGGCGTACGATGAAGAGACGGCTTTTTGATGCCCAAATCAAAAAGGCACGCTCATGGACTGTGTGGTCGCAGCCTGTGTGCAAGCGACTACATGTTGGAAGAACTCACAATCCCTCCACATCTCGACCCATTCCTCTTCATTCCATTGCTCTTTCTAATCCTGCCTATCTATCCTTTAGAGCCCTCCATCACAAAATTGCAGAGCAATGGGGTTTTTTTTTTCTTTGGAAATTCACACCTCAGGCCAGACCTGAACTCGCATCTTCCGCTGACCAGGTGAGTGCGTTATACGCCGTCAGCCCCCCCCCCCTCATCTCAACGGACTTTGTGCCGTTGAGCAGCAGCTCCACGTACGAGACATATGTATGTCACATTTCAAAAAGTGTCTTATCAACATCAAGCGTTGAACACTTTTCCAGGCCCAGTAATCTTGAAGGCTGTATTCAAGGACACTTTGTGAAAAATCAAAGTATTTCTCATGAACATTAGGACCTTGCTCCGAACCTAGAGGCGGAAGGAGCTCCGTGGTGAATAAACCAATTAATGGTAATTCTATTCAGAAAACTTTACCCTGCACAATAAGTGCCTTAAATGCTCTTCTAATTAGATACCTTTTCGTATCTCTGTTTCACATCTTCACCCTACGCAATCTTATCAGTGCGGATGCTGAGGAATGTCAGGGAATTGCAACTGGCGTGCTCCAGTCAACTTTCCCACCAACTCTTGTCATTAATCTCTCATCAATCAATGGAAAACAGGCTGACACCACTGAACCAAGCCCTCCCAACGAGCCCCAGCTTTCGCAGCAAATAAGAGTATACTTTATAACTCAACGAAATGATTTGAAACATGCAATCCCACTCATCCATGATGACGAACCCGGCGGCAGAACGGAAACACTGTGAAGAAGTTGAGAAAAAGTTGAATAAAAATAAGAGACGTACAAATCTCCAATTTGCTTTCGTCCTCAGCAGTCTCCATTGGCGCGCCTGAATCTGACGTTTGTTTCGCGCTCGAGTCTGATGATCCTGCAGGCTCGTTTACACGAAACAGGTAAGTTGCTGGATCATGCCCGTCCGCCAGCAGTGCCTGTAAAAGTGAAATTGAAGTTGTATGGTAGTGCCTTAATGTGATAAGATTTTCAACACGATATCGCTTGATAATAATGTGTTAAAAATTGAACATTATCAGCAATACACCCCAGACAATAGGGTAACGCTTGAAAGCCGAATCAGGCTTATGTTTCTTCCTAGCTACCCTCTCATTCCATGGTAGTCCCTTTTTCTTTGGGCTGCACGCATGGCTCGCCATTCATTCGACATAATCGACGTTTTTCGGGGAAAACGCCCGCAAGATGAGAAGAAGCTTGTATAACAGCAGCGGCTTCATAAAATTTTTCCAAATTTTAGAAAGAAAAAAATATAATAAAAGCTTCTCGGCGATTACCCGCGAATATGATTTTGAATTGCTTTGAGGTGACAGTGATAAGAAATAGTGATGATGCCGCGTTTATAACTTGCGACACAGATGTTTTCGGCGACCACGCTCAAAATATAATATTAGAAGAGTATCGATCCAACGTAACCAATGTTTCCATGTCGGATCGATATGTATCTCATCTTCTATGCGTAATCGCCAAGAAACATCAGTGTCGCAAGTGAACGCAGCACTACCACTCCTTGAATACTAACACCTCAAACCAACTCAAATCCACGGGGACAGAATCGCCACAGAGGTTCAATTTCATTTTTTACTTTCTAAAATTTGAACAAGTTCTGTGAAACCGCTGAAGTTATTCCCTCGGCTTGAAACTTTTGTCGAATCTTTTGAAATAGGAATTCATTGGGATTCGTATGAGATGTTAAGAGCAGTCAACCGTAAAAGTTCGAGTCCCAGTGAATTGAATGCAAACGAGTGGCGCTGCGCACTTTGCTCCGAGCGACACTGGGCGCTGATTGCTTGGCTCCGAGGGGTGCTTACACATTGCATTCATTCTCAAGCATATGCAAACGAAAAAGAAAACTTCAAGGATCTTCTGGTTAACTAGTTAAAGTAGATGTCTGATATCTGACGTCGAAATGATAAGCTATGCGCAATTTTCAGAAGTACTAGCAAGTAATATCGAAAGTACTATTCTACAACTCCCTTTCTCCTTTCCACCCTGCTACCCTCCCTCTTCCACATCTTTCTTATACCTCCAATTTTCTAAAGTGCAATTTTGAGTAACGCACCGCTGGTTCGATAGCACTCCTCAGAGTCTTAGTTCACCCAAATTGGTCACCTTTCACAAATATAACAAAAACACCACTGGAAGACAATGAAGTAAAACCAAGTGCGGAATTCACACTATCGAGAACGAAGAGGAGCTAAGCAAACAGGAATGGCACAGAACGGTGTAGAATGACCACAATGCTATAACACCAATCAATACGCCCATTAGAGGCGGCCTGCGCACCAGCGGGTCACCCCGTCCAATGTACTCGATTAACTGCAGCCAGGCAGAACCCTACACATAGTAGAGAAGAGGGGCTACTACGTAAGCCCGAAGTAACGTTACGACTTCAACTTCGTAACTGGCAAAACCTCTACAGCTATAACTTTTCAAAGAATGTCACCCTGATGGAGAAACAAACGTTTAGTAACCTGTATACAGTTTGGATTATTATTATTGTGAGAATCCCACCAAGGGAATAGTGTCCGGCTACTGAGAAAGTGGTCGAAATATGCCCAGTAGTTTTTGCGGCTGTTGCTTTTCCCCTTTCAGGTATGCTGTACCTCCCACTCCACCGCACTTGACTGGGTAGCGCGCAAACACTACTCACTATCTATCAGAAGTGTCCACCTCTCCTTCCCCACACTACAGCATATTTGGGCGGAAGACCAATGTGCTGAGGACCGTCGTAGCAGGTTGTGGTATGGCCGTAAAAATGTGCACCCCTCGCTCCCTTGCGTCTGCGCGCTGGCACCGCCACCCACACATGCTGATCATGCGTTCTGCCTGCATACATACCAGTATCACCTCAACTTTCCTTCACAGATTTCAATCGGTGACCTTTTGTGAGCAGTCTTGAAATAATCTCTTAACTGATGTTAATTTGGCGTCTCGCCAAATCTGGCTCTAATCGTTCCGACAACGGTTCTTCTAGACGACGATTGCACGCACCACATACTCATTTCTTTCATATTTTACCACATACTCATTTCTTTCATATTTTATGCTAGTTTTCCAGATTTTTCAGGTTTTTTTGTGCGACTCCATACCCGACTATTTAAATATTACTACTAGGAGCACCACCCATATACCAACAAATCCAGTGCATTTTTGGGATTACTAATCAAAATATTCAGGAATTAGAAAAGGGAACAAGTGTGCGTCCTCATATCCTACCTTCAGCTATAGAGTCGTATTCAGTCACCAGAGGTACAGATGCTGGGTAGGGTGAGAAACCTTTTTTGATTGCTGATTTTTCCGTTTCAGAAGAGCTATAATCACCACCCCCCCCCCAACCTATGATCCCTTGGCCACTATTTCTGATCAGGGCACGTCCTACGTTGGGGATCCGAGCGAGTTGGGTCGTCATTGGACGCTGGAGGGGAGGGGGAGGGGTGTGGTATGCGCCTTTAGCAGCAAAAGTGTTCTTTGCTTTCAGTTGCGCTGTATACCCCCCCCCCCTAATCCGACGTAGTTCTACGCGATGGTATGTGAGATGTGGGATATAGGAGAAAGGTCGTACCAGAAGAGGAATTTTGAGGGGGTCGTCCTGTGCAAAAATTTCCCCAATGCAGAATGTGCCCTCCCTGTTTCCGACAGCCAAGGTGTCAACTCACGCTAAATGATATTAGGGGGCGTATGTGAGGGGACAGACAATGAGGTCGTATCAGGGCACAGCTTCTTTCTTCGTCTGACTCTGCAAGCAAAAGGAAAAAGTCATGAAATTTGCTATCCAGGAACAAAAGTGGTTTTCCGCTGGAATGATCATAAGTGCGTCCATTATAAATGGTTCTCATGATAAATGACATTCTAAAAACATTACTGGTTGCTAGCCCTATTTCGCTAACGGACCCGAAATTTCCAATTTAACGGAATTGGAGCATTTTCCCGTACCTACGTCACTGTTCTGAGGCAGGTTTTCAAATTTCAATTAGATCGGCCTTCCTCGACGAAAACACCATATGTAGCTGTTCTACCCTGTTCCCGGTCAAAAGACTTCTGCAGGTTAGTTTCCCATTAGCGCGCTGATAGATAAACGGGAGGCATTTGTTCATTTGGAAACAGCACATTTTGCGAACCCCAAAGCTGGAAGTTGCAGTGGGCGTATGAGCGGAAGAAAATGGTAATGACCACACATCCCACTGGGGTTTCTGCTCAAAGATAGTAGCCGCACCCGACCGATTCGAAGGGGCCTTTCCTGGTGCAAAAAGCCTGCTTTGCTGTCTCTGAGGATGTCCCACTTTCGCGGCTTCAT